GGGATGGCATCCTTGTCGATGAGCATGCAGCAATTGCTCCTTGAAGATCCAATTAAGAGCGCAAAAAAAGTTGGCTAAAGCCGGATCAGAAAGGCAAGGTTCCACCATTGCTCCATTTATCTTATGGATTGTATGCATATTGGTAAATTGCCATATTACAAACATTGGCATTTGTCCCGCACGCTTCTGCTCTTCATCAAGCTTGTCCAACGCTATTCGGAATCCTTCTCGGAGAACTCACTTGGCAGGCATATTGCTGCTGTCGATCATTGGCTGCGGTCCCTGGAACAGTCAGTACATGATATCCCACTGGGAAATTCTACTTGACTGGAAGATTTGCAGCACTTCAATTGATAGTTTTGTCAATGTTATGAACTGTCAACCAAGATCAAGACGCGGTTATCCTGCGGTGGGTCTCTACAAAGTAGTTCCGTATCAGTTATGTCAGAATCACTAGCTATGATGCAAATGGTGGATGAATGATTGATATGTTCCTGGTAAGCCATCATTTCACCCATGCCACGGAGAACCGCATCATGCCGTTGCCGTTCCAGTCATTCAATGTGTCGGGTTGCAAAAGTCTGACCAGGGCGGTTGAAACTCTCCGCCCGGTCCCGGTCCTCGAGGCCGCAATGTCACCTACGCGTGGGCGCTGTCGACATGCAAATGACTGTCTATTTCGTCTGACTGGTCGATTATTTTCCGAACGCGCGTTGTTCAATGTCCGTCATGCAGCACCAGGATTCATCGCTAGACAAATCGATCTCGAGAAGATGGGATTTGTGATCGAGGATGGTCTGAATCACTATCCCAACGGAACTGCTCAGCAATTCATTGGGAGCTCGATGCCAATGATATGCTTTTATCATATTGTACTACAGACTCACGACGGCCTTCGCCAGCATTGCATTTGATACCTGTAGCAATGTCTCCGATGACAGTGACAGGCTATCGTCTAGCAATTTGTTCATACACAGAAAAATCGGCGATTTCTTTACCCCGTTTACTGGGGGTAATTCTGATGCTATTGAACTCGGAACCACAAGAAGCCGTTAATGGGCCCTCGTTGCATGGACATTGCATGATGGCTATTGGCGAACTCAGGGACTCTCAATCTCACAAGTTGCAGGGCGACCCAGTGGTCAGTCCAGATTGGGGAAGTATGAGAATTTGGATAGCCAATGGGTAACCTCTCTGTTGGAATTCATGGGGTATGACCTGGCGATCGCGGCGACAAAGCTGGACAACATGAACCTACCCCGATATGCCACGACGACGATACACCGCCGCGTAACTACTCTATGCCAAGCCGGATTGCAAGTCACCGGGGCAGGCAAGAACGCATGTGTGAATTGAGATGTCAAAACAACTTGATTCTCGAAATCATGTTACCTTTCTGGTTGGTATTGCGCAGATCAATGGTTTTTTATAGAACACGATATGCTCGATTGGGGAGGACCGGGACCTATTCGCCACACAACGCCACCTTGTGCCTGCCATCGGTGCCATTCGAAATTCGCCTGGCAGCCCTATGCGGCTATTGTCTAGGCAAGTTATAGCACGTGCAACGCTGAGATACTCTATGTCGCCTCCATATACTTCTGTCGATCATTCGTATTCGTCTGCATCTTGCCTCATGGCCAATCAGTCAACCGAAAGACGATTTGTATACTCCGGGAAGAACGACGACGCACAAGCCTCGCAGCCTCATCTCGGATATCTTTCAACTATGAATACCTGCGGTTACCTCTTGACCAATACTTGATATCTAACAGCTGATTATACGAGATGCTTCAGAAGGCGAATATGCAGCCTAAAGGAGCACCACCAATTTTGCGGGCAGGCGACACTGAAATTCGCCACGGAAACGGATTTTGTCGAAGACGGAAATAGTATCAAACATGTTGACGTTAACCCAATGGCCGTGTTTACCTTGGCTTATTGAATGGCGATCGTATACCGCCGCCCGGCTATCTGAGATCCCTGAACGGAACCGACAGGCGAAAGCTGCACTGATGTTTCCAATAGCAAGCAGCAACATCTATTGAGTGGCTCTTATAGCATATTTATTTATAAAGATAAATACAGACTACCAAGCCTTCCCCTTTTTTTGGTGACTCCCCTGCTTTTGTAGCCGCCCTGTTCCCTAGATTTGCGTACCGGCCGTGGGAACTTGTAGTCAGGTTGCATCCCGTCCTAGTAGATCGACCCTATATGAGAAGGCGATTATAATCGTGGAGGTTTTGGTCCGAAGAGCACAAGGAGCAAGCTAAAGCCTATGTAGCCTCAGGACCAACGAACGACATGTTTTGGAAATTGTAATCTGCTCTGGATGCGCCTTTTCGGCTTCCTGGTAACCAAACGCAGGGAGCGATACCAGTATCTTGGGGGAGATTTCAGGGGCGAATTGGGAGAAGGTGGGCGGCAAAAGATGGATTTCTTGAAGCAGGCCACCGGCAGCAAATCCTTCCAGGTCGGATTTCCCGGGCTGACAGTCTATCTCACGTTACCACGTAGAAGTGACAAACCAGAATGATGGCCATTCTCCTTTCTCACCGGGCCCCAAGGCAGGCCTATCATATTCATATGGTAAATGAACATGATAGCGCGTGCCTGTCAGCGCTACATTGCAGTTTCATGGTCAGGTCTCGACGCGTTGTTGGTAATTACTGCTGACATATTTTCGTGTATACGACCAAGTAAAGTAAATGAGATTGCTGTAATGAATTGCACGGTACTCCTTTACAACAAGGGTAGTTGGTCATTACTTCTTGTGCAATTGCTGGCTGCAAAGGACCTATCAAGACGTAACATCCGTTTTCGAGGCGTCCAGGAGTTCTGGTAATTGAACTTTTAGACATGATGCACAGAGCGATGCTGAATTGCAAACCTATTGTTGTCAAATCCATGATGGTGACATTGTTTGTAGAGTTGGAATCATCTGACCCCATCAGGAAGCTCAATGTTGAGTCGACTCGGCCCGATATTCCTCTCGGCCCTTTCCTCTGCATCGCAATATGGTTTTCATATAGTCATCGTGGAATCTTCATGTGTAATACTGTAATTCTTTCTCAATGCCGTCATGGTAATATAATCAGATGATATAGTCCGTAAGGCAAATTAGTTGATGCCAAGTGAGAGATTGCGGCGTTGGTCTTTGTCTACTTGTTAGTCAAGTCGCCATTGCCCAAATGACCACCAAGCCACTTGACTCAGACTATCTAGGTGGCTATCGTGTCTTATCAAAGGTGCAAAATAGGAAAAACAAAATAAAATAAGCCACTGATAAAATGCAATCAGTTACTTGCCATGAGTTCCTCTTGGTCTTTCTGGCGAGATCTGTGCGATGTGAGAAACACTACCTATATAATCCATAACAAAGCTCAATTGTTTGGCTTTCTTTGTTTGTATTGACTTCTGCTTACGACGCAATACTGATGTTCTCATTCCAGGTCTCCTTACGTGATTCGGAAATGGCCCTGCAAGATAATTCGCGGATCAAGAAGGTCATTGCCCGTACCGTAAAGACCGAAGGCTCACTCGTAAATGTTCAATCCTGAAGTATACTCTGCAAGTTTTACTTAATATACGGCCAATTGAATTGAGCGAATTGGGGTATGATGAACCTGATGTATCGTCTATCACTTTTCGATGAGGCGGTGAAGAAGAAAAACGTTGTCCAGAGCTACGATAGAACAAAGAAAGTTGATAATCTTCTTGTTTCCAATAATGTTCTATTGTTAGCATTGAGTTTCAACAATTACAGACTTCTAGTATATTAGATACTCACAAGCACCAAGAAGCCGCTTGAGTCTTCCATCACATCGTGTTCCCTTTACTGTGAAGCTCGTATCAAGAACTACAATACACAGTCAAAATGAATGACCGAGAGATTCAGAGGATGATTCACAATAAATACATGCAAGGTATCAATTCGCCCTAACCTGATGATGAAGCCACGAGTACCTCAAATGTACTGACAATGAACAAACAGAAAACCTTGCCGCCTTCATGGAGTGCATTCGCCAACTCAGCCGCGTGCCCACCAACGAAGAAGAAGTCGCCGACATTGAAGGGGGCTTCATGATGGAGCTACAGCGCCGAAAGATTGAATCCGCGCCCTCGGAAGCGATCCGCAACCTGCGCATCGCGGCCTGGCGCGCGCGCGAACTGCACGAGAACGAGCTCGGCGACCGTCAGGGCTACCTGGAGCGCGCGACAAAGTGCCAGCGGCAACAGCGCCACCTCGAGGTCTCGGACAGTGCCCACTGCCGCGACATGGCGGTGCTCTGCGCCGACGAGGGCCGCGAGTGCGAGGTCCGCGCCGCCTTGTCCCAGGAGCTGGCGGCCCGGGCCTTGGATCGGGGATACATGCTCGAGCGCATCCAGATGAATCACGAGTTCTGGGACTACAAGAAGGCACAGAGTCATGATGCTGCGCGAGAGGCGGACAGTGGATCCTGTGACGAGCAGGAGCAACTCCGGCACCGGGCCGAGGAGGATCTAAAGGTGCGGTTTGACAGAGAGTTGGCTGGGGAGGCCGAGGATGTTGCGAGGGCGAGCCGCGCCGATCGTGAATTGGAGGAGCGTTGTGCGGCAAGAGACGAGACGAGAAAGGAGCTGGTCCGCCTCTGGAATCTCGAGAAGGAGGCTCGAGAAGCCGGGCTTGTCTAGATTTTGCAATGTAGACTATCTTGGTCAAGTTGAATTCGACACCAAGTAATGGCATGATGAATTGTTACCACTTGGTATATCCTTTCCCCGACATCTAGAAATGTCATGACAAAATTTATCGTGTATCGTCAATCAAATACAGAGCAAATCGCGCAAAGTTGTCTTTGAATTGTCTTTTGATACCACGAAACCCTCATAGTCTCGTGCGGAATTTGAGCTTGTATGTCCATGAGTTGGTCTAAAGCGCGCTCTCTAGTCTTGCCATAAGTCTAAGCTATCTATGGTTTTTCTTTTCGTCTATGGTTTCCATGTGATTGGGTATCTTTTCAATGCGCAAGCTCCCTCACCTGACTTTCGATCATAGCCAGAGGGTCAAGGTCTAACGACTCCTTCTGTAACTCGAGTGCTTTTTTCTTGTAGTCTCCATTATCGAGTACCTTTCGAACAGTACTATGAATCTCCCCGATTTCGGGTTTCTCGGATCTGATTGCGATTCCCAATTTGAAGAAGTCTATCCGTGCTGCAACTTCACCCTTGTCTTGGCCAGTAGTACCTAATGCAACGATTGGGACTCCGTGACCGATAGCATGAGAGGCACCGCCATATCCAGCATTGAATATGAAGACATCAGCATAGGGAAGTACGGCGTCGTACGGGAAGTAGTCAATCACCCGAGTATGCTTTGGAAGTTCAAAGTCTGATGGCAAGCTGGCGCCTCGTGATCCTATCGCAACCACGAGCAATATGTCCTCTTCGTTTTGGAGAGCGCGGATGACAGGTAGCAGCAGAGCCTCTGCTTCGTAGGTAAGCGTTCCCTGGGCAAGGAAAACAACCTTTTTACCTGCCGCTGATGCGTCTGTGACATCGGACCACCAAGACGGATACTCCAGGGTCGGGTTCAATGATTGAGGGGGCAACGTGCCAGCGAATTTGATTTTTGGGTTTCGTGTAGGATCCGGATACTCAAAGCCGGGACCGCAAAGCTGTAGTAACAAATCCGACGTCAGGACGAAATCGTCCATGGCAAAATACTCTGGCCAGGTTGTGCAGCCGACTTCTTGAAGCTTCTTTGCGTGGGATTCTGCTATTCCTCGGAAAGGGAACCTCCGAAACAGCTCAGTCATGTACAAGTGTCGGGCCTTGACTGCAGGGGAGTCATCGTAGGGAAATCCCGGTCCACATATGCCTGTCACCTCACTGTCGACCATGATGGGGTTGATTCCCAGACAAATCGTCTTTGGCATTGTAGTGTAGCCCTTCGGCAACGGTGCTCCAAAGTGCTTTTCAGTTGAGTTAATCTTCGTAAAAGACCTATAACAGACCGTATCTCATGGGGTGACTCACAAACGGGTGGACTGCTACAGCGCCAACTTCGTGGAAGATGATGACCTCCCTATTGGGATCGCGTTGATGCAGCATTTCCAGAGCCTGGCGCAGCTGTTGCACACGTTTTGGCAGACTGGTCAAGAAAACATTGTCGAATGCATATGCAAACATTTCAACGTGCATCTTGGCATCTAATGCGGCAAGCCTCTCTGGAGCAAAGGCTTCCATATCCAGGGGCTCGAGAGCGGACCATTCCGCTCCGGCTCGGGCGACTTGGTCCTTGAATTCCGAGCCAGTGAGGAATAGAACATCGTAGCCTTTTTGGATGTGATAAGAAGCAACACGGAGTAGGGGGGTGACGTGCCCCGCTGCTGCTGCTGCCACGAAGAGCAATATAGGCTTGGTGCTGTTGGAAACTGCCATGGTGGTGTGCGAAGCTCAAGGTATATGGAATGGTAAATTGCTCTTTCTCGGGGGTTCAAGTCGATTGGGTGGTGCTGAGAAGATTGCCTTTGGTCAAGGGATGTAGGTATATATATATGTTGTGTCACATGGTCTTGTGAGTGTATAGGGGTCAAGTAGGTGTTTGCATGGTTTGTCAGCGGCGATTTGACACTATATGAGCAAGTGCTGACATTGCACGAAGCGGCCGCGTATAGTGAAAGCCATTGGTGACAAGCAAACGCGAAAGCCGAGAATTTGAAACGATGTGGGTTCTCGAGTTGACGATCGCTGCATTAAACGGACCTTTGAGGTAGGGAGCTAGAGCCCGGGGCCACTTCTTGTCTCACGGGCCGTCTCTTCTGTCGCGCAGCATTGACGGGAAAACGCTTGAGGCCACCACAGATGTTGCAAGTGATTACCAAGACATCGGCCCAGGGCTTCTTGGAACCCTTACTCGTGTTCTCAATGACCGAAGTACAAGTTTGACCATCGATCAGCAGAGTGTCACAGTACTTGCAGATGGTACGCTTGATTGCTGGGGACAGCCGGATCTGAGTCTTTAGAGAAGTTGACCGCATGTCGGTGAGCAAGTGTCGAGCCACGGATTGCTTGACTTGTTGCTCGAGGGGTCTTTTCTCGCTGGCGGCAGCGAGCTCTGCTTGAGGGAGGACATCAACATGTGGTGTCAAGTCTGACGTTTCCGATGACTCATTGGTGGCCGTGGTGCTCAGATATGCTGCCGCTTGGTACAGATAGGATATGCGTGAATAGAGCGGTCGATTGGCAACATTGCCTTGCTGTTTGGGTTTGGCCATGTTGATAGTGGGCTGTGTCTGGGAGACGCTGATTTTATATGAGAAGAGAGAGAAAGAGAATGTGTGTGTCCTAGTTCTAAAAGCCGTTGTCCGGTAACGACTAGTTATTAAGTTGAGGGGGAAAAAAAAAGAGATGACCAAAAAGATACAACACCGACGATTCCCTAGTGGTCACCCACCTGAGTACTGATTCGACGTCTCAATGGTGAGCTATACACCTTGCCATATGAGTGCAGCAGCTTTCTTTAGCCTGTGGTCCTGCCAGCATTTACCAGCCGCCGGCGCTGCATTTCGAATTCTAGCGATTAAATAACGGCTCGCAGTGAATAATGCACTAGATTTAGTCGATGGTGGGTAGTTACAGGAGCTAGTTCTAAGGCGTTAGTCCCGCAGAATGCTTTTTTAGGAGTAATGCTAACAGCGCTATGTCACCTTGGTTAGCAGCGCTATGTATCACCATATCCCGTTATCTGCACCTGCATACAGCCCGCCGTAGATATATAGGAAAATAGCGAGAAATTATAAGGCTTTTTTCGAAGGAAACTAATTTATGCGTTGCATCGTGAGTAATTGGCTTGATTACCTACTAGGTATCTACTTTTTAAATAGGCCATCGTCGTTAAAAATAACGATAAATACAATAGCTATTCACAGCAGCTATAACACTGCGCAAAGGCTTAAGATACCTAGGTAAATAAAAATCAAATCTAAAGCTATTTCCAGTAACTAGAATTTGAAATATAAGATAATAGCGGGCTCTATGCAGACGCATATTACGGGATATAGTGGTATATAGCGCTGCTAGCATCACTCAAAAATTGGCCCCTTCTTGTCCCCGCTGTGCTACAGTAGGTTGTTGTGTTAGTTGCATGTCATCACATTCGCCAAGCCCTGACGATTGCTACCAATCGGCAATGCTGCACACAGAGTACTTGATACAAGGTTTGTGCAATTGACTGTAGCGACGCGAGGCTGCGAGATAGCTGTTGGTTCTTTACGCGGAGAACCTTGGAATATGCATATGTACACCGTAGGAAGTTGGTAGCAGGCTAGGTAGGCGGGACATCACAGCGTCGAAAGCCAAGCCCGGTGAACAGTCTGCATTGGTCACTCCATATGTACATTCTTTTCGGGGACACACAGAGTAATTGATTCACGTCGCGAATACGAAGGCCGTTTTGGCAAGCAACTGTTGTATTGCGTCTCCGCTCCAGATTTAGCAACAACGATGCACCCCCATACTTGTCTCGGGCAATGGTACCCAACATATGTCGAATAAACACTTAAGGCCCACGCTTTGCCTGCCCAAGGTGCAAATCCACTACTGTACAAAGACGAAGCAAGAATTCCCTACGCATTAATTCTCAACACTCCTATCACAAGTTCATATACTGGCCAATATGGCCACGACTCCAATATGGGCAAAACAGCCATTCAAGGCGCTGTATAGCGTCATGTTCATGCTTAAAGCAGTAGCACTCTTGCCATTACTTGTACTTCGCTATGGTCCGAAATCTCTCCGGCCCCTGCCAGAGCAGGGCCTGCGCATTTGTGTTGTAAATGCGCTTGTACGTCAGCTCTTTGCTTACCAGACTGCCACCCGTTCCAACGGCGTGGCAGACGTCGAATCTGGTCACAAGAAAGCAAAGGAGCGCTTTGCCCTGGTGCAGCCCGCCGAGGCGGAACTGTATCGCGGTGTCCTGAACCTCAACGGGTCAATACACCCGGCGGCGGTAGGAGGAATCTGGTATCCCTCCCCATTAGCCAAAATTACGCCGGCTCCTGAATCCGAGAAGGAGAAGGTTGTCCTGCACTTCCCAGGCGGTGCATTTGTGCTTGCTTTCGGCACCGACGCTAACGGACAAGACATCTCTGGGATCATGAAGCAGCATTTGCACGCGTCAAAGACCTTCCTGGGCCAGTATCGAGTGAGCAGCAACGACGAAACTCGATTTCCAGCAGCCATCCAGGACCTGGTCACCTTCTACCACTACGTATTATCGTTGGGTGTGGCACCCGAGGATATCCTTCTGTCTGGCGATTCAGCTGCTGGAAATCTGGTTCTTGGCCTCATTCGATATATAGAGCACCTGAAATCACCTCAACTTCCGCCCCCGTCCGGAGCGATGCTTTGGTCTCCCTGGGTTCACGTCACGGCGCAAGCAAACCAAGACTACAAGACTTCCAGGAACGCGCAAAACGATCTCTTGATTGGCGAGCTCCTGGAATGGGGTGCCAATGCATACCTGCCCCATGACGACGACAAGTCTGCCAGCAGCGACGGTCTGCCGTACATTTCACCTTTGCACCATCCTTTCAAGACTCAAGTCCCCCTATTCATTCATGCAGGTGGGAGCGAGGGTTTTCGTGATACTATCGCGAATTTCGCGCACGAGATGGAGGGAATCGAAGGAAATCAAATTCGATACAGCCAGACGGACCAGGCCTCTCACAACTTACTAATTGCATACAAGGGCTTAGGCTTAGATCGCGAGATGGCTGCCGTTGCAGAGGAGGCCAATGAGTTCTTTTCCGCCTATACAGCTGCGTAAGGAGCAGGTCCTCCCGCTGAGTTTCACTTCGAATTGATAGCAAGGGAAGGCAATCCAGGGCCACATCAGCGTGTATAACTGCTACGAGCGGCCTATGGAGCATGGCGAGCGGCCGACCTAGCAAGGAACTGGGGACTCTCGGTCAAGTATGGGCAAGGGAATTTTGCAGCAGCTGACTATACGCCCAGAAACAAAAAGATGGATGAGGGGACAGAGATGCTTTGGCTGGATCAAAATGACGGCCAGAACTATTTTGGATCTTTGGGACTAACTGGAATTCCGTGGTCCTGGTTCTGAAAGCCGTTGTCCGGTAACGACTAGTTACTAAGTCGAGGAATTAAAAAAATAGAGATGACCAAAAACATACAACACCGAGGATTCCCCAGTGATCACCCACCTGAGTACTGATTCGGCGGACTCTAGGTTAAGGGTAGGGCGAAACGGAAATGTGATAATGTCGAAGCAGAGAATTGCCGGACGACAAATGCTAGATTGTCACGGAAGGTTGACCGGAGAGTGGGGCCATATGACAGCACCCCACATGCAGCTCGCCCAGGTCTACCTACATATGTACTAAATCTAGGTACATGCTGAGTGACGTGTAGGTACTAAACCCGGCGGCCATCATAAAATCTGTATGTGTACTGCCTTCTACATATCATGATGCCAACAACGGTAGCTAATGCATATGGCCAGTCTTTGTCGAATTACGCCTGTTTCAAAAATGTTGCACTGTGCGAAAGATATTCTTGATTTTGATCAATCTGACGGTGAAGCTATACTTCTGATCATCATAATACTTCTGGAGATCCCAAATCTCAACCAACTTGTTGCTTGTGTCCTCCAATAGCGATTGGCAAATATGGTGTCAAATGAAAACGGGCAAGGGACACAAGAAGATATGAAACCCCGAATAATGCAGTGCCGCTATACCCAGACTCAAAACTGCTTTCGGCCTAAGTAGTATCTTCAAGTTGAATGGTAGGCATTGCCATCGCCGTTTCCCAGCCCTGACCAAGGCTCTCTGTGCTCGCGCCCAACAGCCAAGCAAAACCCTCCACGATGTCTTTCACGAATTTCTTTGAAAGAGTGAGGCCTGGTGCGAATACCCAGAACGAATGACATACTCCTGGGTACACCTCCAACTTCACCTCGACACCATGATCCTGAAGTGCATATGCAAGGATGAGTCCGTCGTCGCGGAAAATATCATGACCTGCAACCTGGAGGAAGATCTTGGGCATCGTGTTGATTTTCTCGAAAGGTGATGCTAGAGGATTGAACAAGGGAGACGTGGCCTGGGGTTTATAATAGTCCCACATGGTTGCCTCTTTGTTCTCATCAATGACGAGCGCGTCGCGATGTTGCTCATGACTCTTCCAAAACTTCTTATAATCACTAGGCACCGCATCCTCTTCCTTCAAGCCCATGAAGATTGGGGCCCATGTACCCGTGACTGGAGGCTGGAGTTCAACCTCCACAGCCCGCCGCGTGAGCACGACTGCAAAGTTGGCACCACTAGAGATACCGCCTACAAGAAATCCTCTGGCAGGGTCTGCGCCGAGCTCTGAGGCGTGAGCTGCGGCCCATTGCAGTGTCTGCCACGCATCCTCGATGCCAGTCGGAAATGCGTGCTCTGGTCCGAAACGGTATGCAGGACAGAGAACTGAAGCGTCAAACAATTTCGCGAGTGGACGAGCATACATGGTCAATTTAGTAGGGCTCCCGAGAAAGAAACCTCCCGGATGAAACAGCACAATGAGTGGCCCAGGTTCGGAGCCTGGTACAGGCCGTGTCAATAGAGCGGTCGAGGTGTATCCATCACTCGTCGAAATGGAACGGACCTCCTCCTGTAGGCCAGTTGGAGGCGATCCGAGTGCTTTTGTAAGCAAGCCATCGGCGTAGTCCGAAATTCCGCGGCACTGTGGTATGTCTGTGAAGGGAGGATCAGGCCAAGGGCCACTGCTGGCAAGAAGCTATAACGACTGTCAGATTTCTACTGCAATGTATAGCAGAGAACGAGTTATGTGATCGAACCTTCACAAGTTCCGGATCTCTTGGACTTTGTGTTAGGTCTTGCCAGGCGGCAAGGCGCTGATTGTGGGACATGGATGCCATAGTCGATGGGAAGCTGAAGAGTATTTTGAAAAGAATAGCAAACGTACCAGAGAAGTGGGGAGGGGTTACCACTCAACGTCGAGTTGAAGGAGAAGAAAGTCCACTTAAATACTTCTGCCCTTCTTTCCCCCCTCGGTTTACGCTCAGTGGTACGGGGCAGAGGTTCCTCCGAGACTCGATAGCAGCATGTAGGAGGTGTCACATTACATCACATCACATACGATGATCGGGAAAAATGGTTATGACATGCTTATGATACACAAGAAGGCTAGGAGAAACGATTCCCAGTCCAACTGTGGCTTTACTTATACATATTTATCAGAGTATTACAGTTCTATTGTATTGATTATTTCTAGATATGAATGACACTTAAACGGTAGATTTGTTCCATTAGGAAGTTTCCTTGTCTTCTCCGTTGGGAAAATTACCATTTTCTTCCTGGCTCAGGGCTGTGTTGTCGGTTGGCTTGTTGGCTGCGTTATGATATTTGAACCATGGCATGAACAAACTGACTAACAACGCCACTCCAGCGAACGGAATTCCAATCGCAAAAGTATAACGAAGTGCACTGATGTAGCTCTGAACAACACCTCCAATGCTCGCGCTAGGTAAATTCGAGATCGCCTCGCTATTTGCAACCGCGGCCAAAACCACCAAAGGATCAATGCCTGGGGTAAATTGACGCAGAGACTTCATGAGCTCGTTCTGGAAAACTGCTTGTGCTGTGGGAAGTAAGAAAGCGCTGCCCATTGATTGCGCAACTGGAAATAATTTTAGCAAACCTGACGATTGTGTGACAGGAGGCAAACTCACAGATAATAATAGGCGTGGCCGTTGACACATCTTTCGCATCGACAACGACTTGCGATAACATCAACGGTATGGTAAGACATAATCCAACCCCCACACCAAGCACGATCTGGATTCCGATCCATTGACCTGTTCTGGATTGATCATCAAGTAGCATGAAGAGACCCGACCCAACAGCCGCTATCGCAGGCCCCAGGATCAGAAACGGGTTATGAATGCCTGTGGCAGCTATGAGGCCACCGATGACAATCTGCGTGATAGTCAAGCCCAGAATGACCGGAATAAGTCGGACACCAGATGAAATTACTGATACGCCTCGAACTGCCTGGAAATAAATGGGAAGGTAGAAGAGACTCAGGTTGAAGCAACCCGCAATGCTGAGAGAAAACGAATTAGTCGTCAGCTTCGTTATGAACTGAGCAACACTCACAAAAATTCAAAAACAGCACCTACAACCAGAACCCGGTTCTTCATGAAACTCGGCATAATGAGCGCACGGTCTCTTTGTAACCACTGGTCAAGGCCGAAAAGGATCAGAAAAATCGGTGTCGCGACCAAAGTGCCCACGACATCGGAGTCGCCCCAGGCCTTTTCTACGCCTGCCCATCGCAATACGAGCGTGAAGCAGAGAATAGTTGCGCATATGAGGACTGCACCAGGGATGTCCATCTGCAGTAGTTTTTCCTTCAAAGGCGCCGGTGTTGGCGCCGCAGCCTTCGGAGCTTTGAAGGCAAAAAGCATAGCTACAGCTGCGACAAATCCACATGGCAAGTTAATGTAGAAACTGTACGAGAATCAATCGGTCTGTATGTACATGCGATAGGACAAGAATCTCTTACCACCAGCGCCAAGTCACTTTTTGCGTGAATGCGCCTCCTATCAAGGGCCCAACCACGGACGCAACTGCGAAAGTGGCCGAGAGGGAACTGGTCATTGCAGGTCTAATTCGAGGTCTGGAGGACAGAGAAATGATGATGAAGCAGCCTGCAAACACACTGGCACACCCCGTGCCCGTGACTGCCCGCCCGGCGATGAAGGCATTGCTGTTTGGTGCAAGTGCTTGGTTCCATTAGCATGCTATGCAACTGATGTAGAACTTGCCGATGGAACGCTCACCACATATTAGACTGCCAACTTCGAAAATGAAAATTCCCAAGAGGAAGACATGCTTCACTGGAAAGTACTTGTATGCTTTACCCCAGACAGATTGCGTGGCCGCCAGTGGAAAGAACATGGCAGAGCCATACCAGCCCACATCCTCGAGACTGTTAAAGTCACTAGTAATGGATGGAATCGCAGTGGTGATGATGGTCTGACCAAGGTTAGCGTATATGAAAACAGAAACCAGATCGAGACGAATATACGGTATCTAAAGACGCGAGGAAAATGCTGAGCACAAGTGCAACGATAATTGCTCTTAGTTTCAGGCCACCTGGATACTCGCTCTCCTCGATGCTGTCGAGCGGGTCAGCATGGCCATCTTTTGCAGCGACGCCCTTGGACATGATCCTATGAGGGAGGGGTGGTATGTCGTGTTGTTCTCAGCGTACGGCACATGGGGGCAAAGGCGCATGTAAAGTCCTCGCGCCCTGCAAGTCGCATTGGTTGAGACTTGATGAAGTACCCTGTCTGTTCTGCTCTCGACCGCAATTTGAAATCCCGTTATGTTACCTCTCGGGAGTTATGAAAACAAGCAAGGCGTGCACAGTGCCATTACATGCAAGCACTACACGGCTTTTGAAATCCCGAAACATATATCAAAGATCGACCGGTCTATTACCCCAGGAGATAGCTACAAGGGCTGACAATCATGTAACTATGTGCGATAAGCTCACCTATAATTTAATTGATATGAAGGGGGGAAAAATGGGAAATTAGTGGGCGATGTTTTCGGTGAGATTGTTGCCTGTCTCACTTTTTGTTGCAGTCAAGATCCCCCTCAACGTTGTTGCATTCTAGTGAACCACCTGCAGCCAACACACAGCCTGCACTCAGCAATCAACATGCTGCCTGCCAGTCTGCAGCCAACGACCAACCTGCGTGCTTTGGTTACGCATACATGCAGAGTGGTAATGGTTGGTGCGAGAAGCAGAAACGAAAAATTAACTCGTGTCACATCTTCGACAGCGTCAACATTGAGCGAATTTCCTGATTCGCCTTGCCAAAGATGCCCTCCAGCCGCTCCACCTCGTGCTCCAATTCTGTGTGTAGTGACTTGAAGACATGCAGCACGTACGTGAGGCTCCCTGCTTCGCGCATCAGACCCAGAATGAGTTACGCATTCCGTCGATGAAAATGTCAAGGCAGACTGGATTGGTCAATTTCCGGAGCTCCGCGATCGCCTCCACATACTGGAATGTTGCCGAGTTGATTGTCTGTGCCTCGCCAAAGACGACGTGAGTAGCAGGGCTACCGCGTCGCAATTGCGATCCATCCTGCAAGTCATCCAGCCTATGGCAAGGATTCGAACGACAATATTAGCCTAGGCAGGGCAACATACATATTGCAGCTGCTACTCAGTACTCACATGTTTGAGCTATTGTGGCCCAAACCCATCCTTCTCACGCGCAGCGTAGACATCTTGGTAGTGTGCCACACATGGAGGATGTGGCCAGCTTCGACGTCATCGTCGTAGGCGCAGGTTTGTCATCTATTTTGTCGTGTTGTAAAGCGGGCATCATTAATGAATTTCTTAAGGTCTGACTGGTATCGTTGCAGCTCAACGACTGCTTCAAGCTCATCCAGAGACACAGCTAGCAATTCTGGAGCGCGATTATTGCGTCGGAGGGGTATGGAGCGAGCGTAAGAGATTAGAGAGCTCCATGTTCGATGCTTTGCTAAATTCTATAAGGACGTATTTATCCCAGCTTCTGGTCGCAGTGGACACATGGCGTTGCAGAGTTCTCTGACATGCCCATGGAGAAGCCTCCGGCCGAGGACTCCATGTACGATTTATTCCGCGCAAAGTATACAACAAAGTATCTTGAAGATTATGTCGACAACATGAGCCACGCCGGATTGAGACTCCGGGATAGAATACAATTCAACACCCAAGTAGAGTCCATCAAGAAGATCGATGGCCGATGGAGTTTCGAGTGTATTGATACGAAAACCAAGTCACGGCGCACAATGGTCTGCTCAAGAGTCATGATGGCGAATGGCCAATCTTCGGTTCCCAATATGCCTGAATTCCCGGGCCAGGAAAACTTCGGAGGAAAGCTCGTCCACTCAATTGACTTCGGCCAGTCTGACGTCGTCCAAAACAAATCTATCCAACACGTTTCCGTCCTGGGCGCAGGAAAGTCAGCTGCAGATATGGTGTATGAGGCAGTCAAGGCAGGCAAAACTGTATCATGGATCATTCGTAAAACCGGTAATGGTTCACTTGGCCCTGCAGCCCTTGCGCCCATCGATCTGCCTACGCCATATAAAAATGGAGTTGAAGCGTCGCAGGCAAGAATCATGGCATCGCTGCAGCCGTGCTACCTTATCCCCAATCAATCATGGTGGACATGGCTTCTCCATAGTACCAGACTCGGCGCAAAGCTCGTAAGCAAGATATTCTCCGCTCTAGACAACACAGTCAGAAAATACGCCGGCTATAGAGAGAGGAAGAGCGACAAAGGTTTCGAAAAACTTGAGTATGACAACGAGTAAGTTCATTCTGCTTGTTGCTGTCTATCTTCAGTGCAGCAATTACTAACACCTCCAAGGATCATCTGGCAGAACGGCACCGCGGGAGGCTGCCATTTTAACGACTTCTTTCCTCTTGTCGCGGATAAAGTCAATGTTCACCGTGGTGACGTGAAGCTTTTGAGTGGGAATGAACTATACCTCAATGATGAGGACGGTACACATTTCCCGTGCGACGCGATCCTATGTGGAACTGGCTGGAGGGATGGACTCGACATGTTTGATCACGATACACTCAGAGCACTAGGATTACCCTTCCCAAAAACTATCGAACCGCAGGAGGAAACAGCCAAGTGGGAGAAGCTCGTTGGCGACGCAGACGAACTGGTCCTTCGTCGGTTCGTCATGCTCAGAAAACCCCCCAAGCACTACCATAAGCACGACGATCGAACGCCCTACCGACTGTATCACACGATGGCCCCTGTACACGATGACTCTATTCTCTTCATGAACCACATTGTCGCTGGAGCGAAATTATTTGCAGCCGAAACACAGGCCATATGGGCAGTGGCGTACTGGGACAAGGCCTTCAAGCTGCCCTCTGTAGCGGAGAGGGAGAAGGACATTGCTCACATGATTGCCTGGAACAAGCGGCGCTATCTCTCAAATGGTGAACTTGGAAACTTTGCTGCCTTTGACAGCGTTCCATACGCAGATAAGCTCTTAGATGAGACTGGGCTTTCAGCGCATCGCCAGAAGGGTTGGCTGGGGAATATGTTCTCACCCATCATGCCTGCTGATTTGGGCAGAGTGTGGCGGGAGTATCTAGACAAGAGAACGGAATAGTAATTAGGACCTAGCTATGATATCAGAGTGTAATTGTAGGCACCCCATAATCCCAGAGAAAGGCTGCTCAACGTGCTCAATCTGATTCGTTTTCCTGGCTGACCTATCTACAACGACCGCTGACTAAAAGTCGATCGTAGATTTACACATGCCCTTTGTCCTGCCCTATGGAATACGTACGTACTACTGCCAAGAACAGAAAAGAAAAATCTGGGGAACAGGAAACATGCATTTGGCCTGTCCGGAATTTGTTGGCCCGTGCGTCTTAGGACCTTTGGTCCAGAGCCGGCAAGACTCCAGAGAGAGCACTGATGAGAGAATCTGATTGCTCGGTTTGCGCCTCACTACTAACGCGAAACTGGCCTGCCTAGATTGCTTGGTTGGATGAGGCGCAAACGCTAACAACAACCGCTGGAGCCTCTGCAGTGATTGTGTGCCTGCTTGTTGGCTGCCTTTTTCACCATTACTGGGCTGGTTGGTTGGTTGTTTGGTTGCCTTGTTGTGGCTGGTGTCCTCGAATACACACTAAAAGTGGCCAGGGCGTCGGGGCTTGACGGGGACCTGGCCACTGCTTCTGCTTGGTTCCGTGCTGTGCCCACTGCCCACTGGCTTTTTACTGGGTCCCGCAGTTTTCAGGCCAGCTTCCAGCGCCCAGCTCAGCCAAAGCTCAACCCCGTCAGATTCATCCGCCCGCCCACCCGCATTCTCCAGCCTCGACCTCAATTGTCCATCAAACAAGGTCATTCCAGCAGAGGCTGCCACGACTCGACTCTTGTTCTTTTTTCCATCAATTGCGCGCCTCTTACCATCTTGGTTTTTCTTTTTTTCCCTTCCGTGCTCAACTCCTCATCGCCCGCTCGTACAGCGCACCCGAGTGAACTGACTCATCTCGACGTGAACTGACCTCGCATTCTACTTCTAATCTCAACCACAACACCTGTTCAACATGTCTGCCGAAGAGGATCTCATCGATTACTCCGACGAGGAGTTGGCTCCCAATGACGCCGCCCCCGCCAACGGCAAGAAGGCCGATGCGGCCGCCGCCGGCAACAATGTCGACAAGAAGGGCTCCTACGTCGGCATCCACTCCACTGGATTCCGCGACTTCCTCTTGAAACCTGAGATTCTCCGCGCTATCACCGACTGCGGTTTCGAGCATCCTTCGGAGGGTTAGTCTACCAATACTGTCACGTTTAGAACACACATCGGTCAAGTTCTATGTCTATCCATCTATCCCTCCCTCCTATTTCAAGCGTCCGTCCATCTCGCAAGCAAATCAAATCCAAAAAAGAAAGCCAGAGTCAAAAAGAGTCGGTGGGAATCAATCGTCGGCGCGGGATCAGGCTGATTGCCGCAGCCCAGCGCATCCCCTTCCGGATTATCTGGGGGTGGTGCTGGTCTGTTGCCAAGCACAAGAGTTGGTCGATGTGGGGGGAACAAACCAGCTGGAAAGAAATCTTGCCTTGCGCGGGCATCTTTCGACATGCTGCCTGTCAAGAGTACAGCGCTTCAGCTGCGACCTTGTGGCATTCAGTCCCAGCGACGAGATACCTCCTGTGTATATTACCAAGTACTGGTTGCTTGATCATGGTCAAAGCACCTTGCAAGCAGGTATCCGTCGTTGGTTGTGAAATAGCCATGTCGCGTCCATTACGCGATCAGCGCCCATCAATTTCGTGGCGCCTATCTGCGCCTGCCGATGGAGGCAATAGGAACAAGACGAATGCTCGGCTCTCATGATATTCGGATACGACAATGCTGCGATGATGGGCGGACCTTGTCCATGCCCCTCTCCGTTCATAACCACCGCTTAATTCACTTATGGGAATCTTTATCTGACATACGATCGCTATCTACAGTTCAGCAAACCTGTATTCCCCAAGCCCTTCTTGGTGGTGATATCATCTGTCAAGCCAAGTCGGGTCTTGGTAAGACGGCCGTCTTCGTCTTGACTACTCTGCAGCAAGTCGAACCTGTTGCCGGCGAATGCTCCGTCCTGGTCATGTGCCACACTCGAGAGCTGGCTTTCCAGATCCGCAACGAGTACAACCGTTTCAGCAAGTACATGCCCAACATCAAGACCGGTGTCTTCTACGGTGGTACTCCCATTGTCAAGGATGCCGAGATCTTGAAGAACAAGGAGACTCACCCGCACATCATTGTCGGTACCCCGGGTCGTCTGCAAGCCCTTATCAGGGACAAGCACCTGCGCCTGGGAAGTGTCCGCATTTTCGTACTCGATGAGTGTGACAAGATGTTGGATCAGATTGGTGAGTTGCGCTCTTACAACTTTGCAGGTTGTCGAGACTAATGGGTATTCGAAAGACATGCGCCGCGACGTGCAGGAGATCTTCCGTGCCACCCCTACGCAGAAGCAGGTCATGATGTTCAGCGCCACCCTGTCCGAAGAGGTCAAGCCCATCTGCAAGAAATTCATGCAGAACCCAACTGAGCACTATGTCGACGAGGATACCAAGTTGACGCTGCACGGTCTGCAGCAATACTACATCAAGCTAGACGAGAAGGAAAAGAACCGCAAGCTCAACGAGCTTCTTGACGAGCTTCAGTTCAACCAGGTCATCATCTTCGTCAAGAGCACTCTGCGTGCAACAGAGCTTGACAAGCTACTGCGCGAATGCAACTTCCCGTCCATTGCTGTCCACTCTGGTGTGAGCCAAGAAGAGCGGTAAGTCCTGATGACAACATTTCAAAATTGGGAGATCAACGAGCTAAACCCCGATTTCAGTATCAAACGCTACAAGGAGTTCAAGGACTTCAACAAGCGTATTTGTGTCGCTACCGACGTTTTCGGACGTGGTATTGATATCGAGCGCATCAACCTTGCCATCAACTACGACTTGTCTGCCGATGCTGACTCGTACCTCCACCGTGTCGGTCGTGCTGGCCGTTTCGGTACCAAGGGTCTCGCCATCTCATTCGTGAGCAGTGAGCAAGATCAGGAGGTACTCAAGGCAATCGAGAAGCGTTTCGAGGTTGCACTTCCGTAGGTTTTGTAATTTACCCTGTCTTATTACCATGATGCTAATGTGTGTTTTTAGCGAATTCCCCAAGGAGGGTGTTGATGCTTCCACTTACATGGCAGCTTAGGGGTGCAGCGAAGTAAGCAGCTTTGCATTTGCTTGATTTAGGGTTTGGAGGAGATGCCTATGACAAAATCAAATTTTCACAAAAGCAACTTGGGTTGGGAAATCAGTTTCTGTATGTCTAGTCTTGCTTCGAGGCATGAATATTTGGCGAAGTAGGACGAAATAAGACGACTTTGATGCCGCGCTACTGGTGCTTATGGTCTTGCGAAACAGCTTCATCCGCACTGACGAGTTTACATTGTGTCTTCTTGTGCTTTCTGCAGCCTGTCTATGTTCGTCTCATATAGCTCAAACTCAGAACAAGTATCGCCATTTTCACGCACGCGAAGGATGGAATGCATACATTTAAATCTCCCGACACTGTTGACGCATGAGAACAAATTCAGCTCAGGTGTTGCATGTTTGATTGCCGCACCCGGCGTTCAGGGCTTTTGTGTTTTCCGGAACTCCTCTACAGAAGCCTAGTCATAGTTTTGCAGTTGTGATTCGAGTTGGATCATTCAAACAAGATAATAGCATTCCAGAATACGGCAACTCTGCGTCATCCTGTAGTCAGGAGGCACGAACCAAATTTGGTCAGTTGAATGAATTTAAAAGTCAAGCTCGACCGAAGGCAGAGGCCACATCCTGGAAAGACGTACCCATGACTCAAAATCCAGTCCCAAAACACAATCGATGCCAGATTCGGGCATCATGTTCATGTCCGACTTGAGTAAGCTATCAATCTAGCAAGGTGAGTCGCCCAGCCGTTGAGTGTACACTTGATCAGACGTCATCCGAATATTACCTTGACTGCCCAGATACTGACTCATTGAACAGAATCGCATGGCACTGTGGTGGCGGATAACAGCCATACCAAAGAGTTCTGCCTGTCACCGAGAGGCAGCAGTCTGGAGCCTGCTCAACCAACAAGCGATCTCGTCATTACGGTCCAGTGATCAAAGGTACCAAGGATTGGTAACAGTCATTGAGGTAGAAGATTTGGGTTTTGATTTCATAATCACCAGTTGGAAATCGGGACGGGCATCCCCAAATATTGGGATTTCAAAGAAGCCCTCTTTTTGCAGTTTTTTGCGCTGCCTTGTCATCCGATTTTGAACCAAGGCAGATCAAACAGTCTATTTATGCTCTCCGGCACCAGACCAGAGGTCTCAGGGACAGATAGCCACACCCGTGATCCATCCTGGATGGTGACCGGGACGAGGAGGAAGAAGGTACCTTTGGGGCTGATACCTCCTTTGCCACTTGGAAGTGGCATTTTGGGTACTACAATATTGAAGTTTTATTTTGGTTTGCAGTTGCTCTGTCTGTTTTGATTCTTGATATTCGTTTACTACTGGTTCATTTATTGCCCGTTTGATCTCTGCTTGATTCTTCCCAGAATTATCTGTTTACCTGTTTGGCTAAGACAGTTCTTTGAAAAAGACAAGACAAGACCGATATGAACGAGGCTATGAGATCATATAGCTGGCTCTTCCCCATTTGATGAATACGCACAGCGCATCTAGATATCTTGACATGGTCGTACACGCCAGAAGCAATTACAAATGTCTTGTGGCCACAAAAGCATCATCACGATCCTCAATTCTGAATTCTTGGAAGGCATAGAGAATTAACTGCCCTTGACTCAAGCCGGGCGTGACAAGGCTAACCATGGCCTCGAGGCTCTCAACAGATATCCTTCTTAAAGCCTTGGGGCCCAACACCTAGTATGTTTGATGGAGACACAGAAGGCGAGGCTCGGATGATTGCCAACAACACTGACAGCCTTGTCATCATGTCGTGAAAGGACAGAACGGCCACGCTTACCTAATTTTATGTTTGCATGTGATTTTCAGACAATTTGTTTATTTTGTGATATGTACTAATAAAGTAAATACCGGTCCAAACATGGGTGCTCGTTGTAGTAGGTGCCGAGCTCTTACAAAAGTAAGCCGGCTGCAGGAAAATTGCAATGTCAGCACTTATACCAAAGTCAGCTGACATGGAGACTAGATGGCATTATCAATAATCGATCTCTGCTTTTCGATGCAATGGTGTAAAGCTTTTTCCCCCCCGTCTCCCCCACAATATATGATAATCACAAGGTTTCATTACGGGCCATATTCTGTACATATTGTTTGGGGGCCGTGTTTTTTCGGCGTGGTTTATCAATCTCACCCGCATACACACACATGGGGCGGGCGCCGCACTTTCAGCCCTCTTGAAGATCTGCCTCGAAAGCGAAAAGTGCTCAAAGCAATAAGAAAGAAAAAAAAAGGATACTTATCTGTTTATGCGAGGCTCGACAGATATAGCCTACCATTTTGCCGATACGGAAAATGTTAAATGCTTTTTTTCTTTTTTTGACAGTTTGTGTGGGTATCTTCCTTCCATTTCCTTGCATATTTCTTTGATATTACTATGAAACTGGGGAGATCTGCCTGCCCGCTGCTGCTGCTGCTGCTGCCTAGTCCTGCAACCCACCAACACAGATCCTGTCAGATTTGGAGGAGGGGGGTAAAAGCAAAGAATGGAGGGACGACGAGGTTGCAATACAGTTTAGAGCTTAAAAAATGAAACCTCGCAAGTCAGTGTACGTACATGTAGTGGGATCCGAATCGTCGCCCAGAAGGATCATGCAAATCTCAACTCTGCCTAATCATGATTTTAAGCTTTTAGGCACGGCTTCTAGAAAGATCTGTGTTGATGCTTCCTTTTGTGGATTGATATGACACGCTCGATATGGCAAATGGATTCTTGATGTCACAAGGAAGAAAAATATCAGGGTTTATTACTCCATGGCAAAAAGTCTCTGCGCTGAATCTGCACTTGGTTGCCTATTGGGGAGGGGATTGATAGCTGGGTCAAACGCGATCCGAAAGGATGAATCCCCGCGATTCATCGTGGCACAGTTTTTTGGCGAGCACTTACACACACATAGACATACACACCTACGTACATAGAGGGGCAGTCTGTTTAGAGAAAAAGCAGAAGGATCACCATGCCTGTTTGCAATGCACTCATTAGTGACCACTAGGATCACATTGCGGGTTCTTTTGGCTTTCGGGCGATTTCATCTAGCTGCTTCTGCTGCTGCTATGGGCATTCCGCTCGAGCGTGATCAAAGGCCTTATACGTACTTTTGAGACTAACTCCCCCCATTTGGATGGGATCTCTAGAGGATCTCGCCGTAGGAAGGATGTTTAGTCAGTCCTCTTGTCATCATGTAAGCCAGCCAGCGGGCCATGAGTATCCTCAAAGTCCCGCTATCCCCCCAAGTCACCATGTTTGAACACACTATGTATGTAATCAAATGAACCGAAAGGGGAGGGACCCCGCGGCAAAGCAAAAGAAAACGTGAGCTGACGCTGGCCGACCCCAACCGTGATACTCCGTTGGTAGACGAGACGGCCAGAGAGAAGAGAGAGAGGTGGGGGAAAAGAGACCATGTTTGTCATCAAGGAACAGCCGGGGCGCCGGCCATCGTGTGATGCAAGCCTCCCTTTCCCTCCCCCTCACTCCCCCTTCTTGCCACGGCTTGGATCCCAAAAAAAAGACATGATTTCACGTATGGACTTGTTCTGCCTCGTGCGAGGGTCCGAAGAAAAGCAAAGAAGACTAAATGGCAAGGCGCCTTGTGGTCATGTGTACGCTTTGAAAAGGGCAGTGCTAGAGTGGGCAGTATCTTTTCAGATCAGTAGTAGTTCATATTTCAAGTACTGAACCACGATCGTCGCGGGCCGCGGTTTGTTATGCTTCACCGGAGTCCGGGGAGGGGGGCGGGCCAAGAGGTCAAATCGTCTGTCTTGCAAAATAGATTTTCTATAGTGACTGCGCCTACTGGGCTGGGGCTTTCTCGTTTCTCCTTCTCTTATTCTTTCGTGTGGACCTTTGGTGCTGGAGGCCTATTTGCAAATGATTATATCGAAATGATATTGAAAACAAAAAGTGACACTGCATACGCAATTCTGTCTCGGGCTTGTCCTAACCTCCCACACCAAATTGAAAGTTGGCTGTATTGGTAGGATTCCCTATGGAAAAAAGCCGATGGTCAAAGAAAGAAAGTCACCCCGCTCAGTTTACCATTGCGGCTGGCCAGTCTGCTATCTTCTTTTACTCATGCTTACCGCAATGTGTCAAGCGGCCTCATTGGCTTGAAGGGGGCAGTGTTGTGTGCGTGCGTGTGTGTGTGTTATGTCCATGCTTTGGCAAGGTGGCAGTACTCTGTAGTCTTTTTTGGATGACTGTCCAGTTTCCTTGGCTTCGGGGCTCGGGTTAGTGTGGGGTTGGAGAGAGGAGGAATGGAAATGACCCCCTCCCTCTTCCCCCCCTGGTGCGCGCCGGCGAGTGCGACGAGAAACATGCAGCAGTCTGGGAATCTAGATTCTACCTTCTTTCATCTATCCGCGCTATTCTGCCTATGCCTGCTCGGTTGAGACCGCAGCCCTTTCAAATATGTCACCGTAGAGGCAACCAGAGCGCTTCAAGATGGAGTCCTTTTTTCTCCCCCGTTCCCCAGATTGACCAGGCCACGGCCTAGGCAGTCGACTGGACATTACGAGAGTTGGGAAAAGGGTCTTGTGATCTATCGGCTCAAAGACAAATAATCGCCACTTCTGGGCCTCTGTTCAGCTCGTTTCCCTTTAGCGCGGGCGTATAGTCAGCCAGCTTGGTCAGTCCAAAGAGTGCGGACCCGCGCGGCAAAGACAATTAGAGGTAGCCACAACCCCAAGATACACCATACGATGGGTCCAGACGACTCTAAATCGTATAGAACTAGATCCTATCTAAAAAAGACCAGACGGGACAAGTTCAGATGGGCTCTCTCTGGAAGGATGCCGAGTGGCTCATTTTTCCTTTCTTTGTCCTGATGACGTGCAGTTCAGTCATGTTTGCTTTTGAGATTTTTCCATCTCCTCTTGTCAGAAATGTCCCGTGAGCAAAGACGTGTTTGTCATGCCACAATCGTAAGAAACGCATTCGGCGAGGGAAAGAGAACAAATCCAGTCATAACCTATG